ATCTGATCCCGAAACCACACCGACTGGGTAGCGTTTGGTCCAGTTATCCCCACCCGGGGGCCTTAAGCATTACATCCTCCGCGGCTGACCAACGCTGCCAATCAACACCGTTTGCGTGCTCTGCGCCCCACTCCGCACTCAGACGGACAGGAAGAGACGTGCCGACGGGGTTGCTTTGGATCCCGATGCCCGTGATCCCAAAAGCGTTGAAGCAACCTTAGGTGATCGCTTTAGGATCAAGGGTGGGGTTATCTACATCGTATCACTGGGATCGATGATACTCCGCCTTACCCCAAAAGCGTGGCTCACCGAGTCATACAGATGGAAGACTCTGAAGGACTGCCTGGAGTACCAACTGTATCCGACACGAGCGAACTGCGTCCTCGACTGTGCATCTCATGACAGGGTCGGTTCCCTCTGGGGACGCCCATGGGTCGGTAAGAAAGGAGTCAAAACCCACAGCGGAGACCGGACACAAGGATAAATTCGTTACCGTTGTACCGTTATCGCGTGACGAACCCTAGCTGGCTGAAAGTGGGGGGGCAACGTGTGCCCTTCCCTGAAAGCCCTGCCCCGAGATCGGAGGCTTGGCTGCCAGCACCCCGTTGGCATTCAGTGCCCGAGGCTACAAAGGAGGCCCAGTGCAATTAGCCTGAGCCTTGGCCTCCCCCCAAAATAGTGGGAGAGCCGTGACTGGGAACGGGGGTTCCCCGGAAGAGATGTGTTTGAATGCAAACATGTATTCGTGTCTCTTCCTGCTTGCCCACCGAGGGGACACAGTGGAGACAGCTCGCTCCGACTGCGTCTGATCTACCCGGCCTGCCAGGGACGCAATTGCCCCAACAGTCCTTCGACCAAAGCCCTCAAAGTCCACAAAGAGACCCGCAACGGGCCCCATAGGAGGAAAGCCTCCGGGGGCACAGCCTCGGTGCAGCCGGTAAAAACAGACTGTGAGGATGCCCTATGATCAGCGGGGTAGGCCGAGAAAAATATCGGTACCTCCACCGTCGGGCCTCTTACTCGACGTCCCGGTACACAAAGTACCGGTAGCCGAGCGTGAGGACTTTCCACTCATGCAAAACACGCAACTCACTTTAACCGATTTGTTTACTGCATGCGCGACCTTGCTGTGACGCGGTCAGTCTCAGCGATTTTGATGGCTCTGAAAAAAATCTCAGGCCTCAGAACTCCAGTGAAAAAAACACACACCTTCACGCAAAAACCCAGAACCCCGTAGGTAGCTACGACAAAGTATCTTGGATGCGGGTTCTATGCTGGTAAATTCTGAATATAACCACTGCACTGTCGACTCGAAACGAGAAGAGACCGGAAAGAAAACAGCAGCAAGCCCTGGTGCTGTCATTACATCTATATATTGCTAAATACATTGTAAATAAAAAACGACATGCATGAGGCAAAAAAAAAATGAAATACAGTTGTAAAAGGTGCCGCCGTGAAACCAACCAGTGGTTATGTAGAGGTGCCGGGTTTTAATTTCTTTGTTGTGAAAAATACTACACACAAAGGGGAAAACGACAAGAGGATAAAAATGACAAGGAAAACTTATCCTACCAGCTACAATGTCGGATGCCGTGCAGCGGCAACAACCCAAGCTAGAAACCTGGACAGGAAAAAAAAAATCAGGCGATCCAGCAGAGCTTGCTAGATTTCATCTCCACTCGAGGCGGAGAAAAAAATCAGAGTGATTGACGGCTACCTATGGCGCTGCCATGTGGGTTCCTGACGTAAGGGGTAAAAGAATCTTGAGGTCATGGGGCTTTCCCAGACCTAGATTCTATCTCTCCGTCACCGGCAGAATCGCTGATTAATGCCTACAGTTCAAAATAGTCAATTTGAGTCTATGGTGGGTAATTGTATGTAGTGAATTTAAAAGAATATTTTTTTTTCACTTTCACAGTGTCTGAATTAACGGTTGCTCATTTCCATTCATCAGAATATGCTCAGGTATGAATTAAATTATAAACCATTTTTATTTCAAACAGAGCCGCCCATGAGGTATTCTCGTTCCCAGGGTATTCACGAGAGTGTTCACATCAGTTAATAAGTATAGACCATTTTAGTAAAACACCATTGAGCATTAGGTAATTTTATTAAATATTTATTAAATATTCATGAGGAGGTTTGATTTATAAGCGACAAACGTTTTTATAAATTGTTGTGATGGTAACATAATTTCCCAAAGACTTTGTTCAAGAAATAAACTTCATCAACATTAACATTAACAACAAATCACTGAAAGTCACATCAAAATTACACGGTTTGGGTTGAAAATGTCTATAGCATTTGTACATGTTGTCTTCGTTTGATCAGTTTTATGTGCTGTACCACATTCTATAATCAATAATTATATTCTTAGTAAGATTTTGTATTATGACAAATACTATTGGAAAACACACCAATGGTGGTGAATCGTAACAATACTATACATAACAACACAATGCCACATAGACCTACTGTGGTTCAATAGTAACTGGAGATGATTCTGTGCTCCTCTCTAACTCAGTACATCAACTATGACATAGTACACAGTAACAGAGAAAATTGGGCGTAGGGAGGGGGGGGGGTACATTTCTAGCAATACTTACCCTTTGACAACCCCTGATACAGAAGTAATGGAATTACATTTTTTACACAGCAAATCACATTTTATACAAACCCATCGGTTTTTATTAAGATAAGAGGAATAAAAATACACCAGGGTTTAGTATTATCATTTTCTAAGACGTCACTGAAGTAATGTGTCCACCTTGTCTCAGGTCTTCAGCTAAAATGATGTCGATATGTGCGAGATGGCGGTATATGAACGCCTACCACTTCAGCTGGGAAGAAGCCACCCCTTTTCTATTTCGATATTCGTTTTGTTTAAACTAGATTGACGCCAGAATTGGCTCAGTATTTCAATCAATAACAACATTTTGTTTCAATTTGACACCGAGCTTGTATCAAGGAGTGGAAACTGTGATATAACAAATTATGATTATAAAACACATCGTCGGAAACGAAGGGGGATAAAGACCGCTATAGTAATAGATAATCCCGCCAATTACAATAGAAACATGTGAAAATCCGGTAAAGTTTACCTGAGTGAGCGAATCACCGAACAACACCACCTGTGGCCACATGACATTCAACTGAATCGAGGTTAAAGGTCAAAGATCAACCATGCTATTCCGTATCCAATATCGACTTCCGGTTCCTGTTATGTTAGGTTTCACACGTTGTTGGTGGTCTTGCAGTTCTTATTCGCTGTTTTAGGGTTGTTCTGTGTTGCGGAGAATAATGAAGGATGAAATTCGAACCAAGAAAGGCTATAAAACACGGAAAAAATTGGCAAAGAAGCGGGTAAGTCGAAAAGTAGGACTGTAGTACCGTGGAATATGGTAGTCGTTGAGTATGACTGCCCAACGATCTTATAATATTCTCAGACCAATAATACTAGTCGGAGTACTATAGTATCTATTATTATTGGATTTATTTCGAACCGTCATGCCCAATAGTGAAATTAAATATCAGTGAAAATAAACGATTTTACAGTAGTTTACAATGAGTTTGTAATTGTAATATTAAAACGAGTAAAACTATTTCTAGTGGCTGGCTCAAATGTCTGAACCAGGTTTTTATAAACTGAAGGAACTGAAGTCAAAGGAACATGTTCTAGGTGTATTGCTTATGTTAGTTTTATGTAAAGGAAGGTCGATGATAAAAAAAAGTGTCTTCGTAAAATACTAATACATTTTTTTTTTATTCACATTTTTTCTAATTCTTTTACACACCCCTTATCGATTAACTACAACACAGACACTCAAATATTGGCTTTAAATCTTACAAAAAATAAAAAAATTGTACAAGCTGTGTGTCTATTGTTGGGAATGGCTCAGAGACGCACTCAATAACTAAGCAACCTAACTCATCTATCAATTTGCATTACTCTGCTTCTGTTTCATAGGCCTTTGCTATCTTTGTTAAGAAGCTGAGCTACAACAAAGATGAGAGGAGTTGGTCTTGTTGCCATAGCAACTATTCAGACCTTGTCGAATTGCACAAACATGTAGCGATGAGCCACGAAATGGAGATCAATGAGAAGTCAGAGACTCTACTGAAAAGTCAGAAAACAGAAACTGCATTTGTAGAGTCACCGCAGGGAGATTCAGACAATTCTACTCAATCTGTAGCTAGAGACAGTGCAACATCTTTGTCGTCATGGTTACCAAGTGATGAGGAGTGCGCCACCCTTGGTACTTCAGATCAAGAGGAAGGGCAGATTTTACTTTTTTATCATTATACCACAATTCCAGATCCAGCATTTATTAGACATTGGCAGCAACTGTTATGTGACAAATTGAACATTACAGGCAAGGTATAATCTCATGCAAAAGTGTGTGTGTTTTTTTTTTTGCATTTGAAAATTATGAAGCATACTGTAAAATACTGTTGAATAATTTATTTTCGCTGGAATTAATTTTCGCTGAAAAGTCTTTTGGGGCATTTTGCATGGAATTTATTTCCACTGATTTTTTGATGAGTTTAATGTGAAATATAGGAAAAAAAGTATATTCGCTGGATTTTATTTTCACAGAATCATCCCAGCAGCGAAAATAGCGAAAATAAATTCCAAGCGAAAATAAAGTATTTTCTACAGTACTTTATTTTAGCTGGAAATTATTTTTGCTGAAAAAACTTTTTTGGGTGTTATGTATGGAATTTATTTTCACTGATTTTTGACGAGTTGAATGTAAAATACAGAAAAAATGTATATTCACTGAATTTTATTTTCACTGAATCATTCCTTCAGTGAAAATAGCGAAAATTATTTCCAAACGAAAAGTATTCTACAGTACAATGCTTTCAATGTTCACATTTTGGTGATGGCTGTTACAAATTGGAACTAATACACAAGATATATTTTATTAAAAATACGGTAAAATCAGAGAAAAAAAGATCCACAGTTGATAGCTTTTGCTGCTCTAAGCTGTTTTAGATAATTATGTTTTTATTTTTATATTTTTTTATATATTGCTTCTTGATAAATACATTAGGATATGATACTTTGTAATTCAAAATAATATTTGACTGAAATACTTTTTTTTTCAGATCAGGGTGGCAAAGGAA